GAATTAGAAACATGCTGACACAGAAAAGTCAGAGACAGGAACCCAATAGTGAGACACCTCTATTTCAAAAAAATGAAAACTGGGATCTAAAATTTTCTTAATCTCTTCCTCTGCTATTATGCTGCTTCCAGAGAAAAAAAAGTCCTGTTCATAGATTTGACTCCATTTTGAGGAAATTCCTTTCATTTCTTAGATGATTTTTAGCATTCGTAATCTCATGCAGTCATTACGATCCAAAATTGGAGCAGCTGAATGCTTGCTGGGCTATACACTCTGACGGTACTTCTCACACAAACAAATTTATAGTAAATTGCAAAAGCATTCGTACAACTTCAGTCATGCCACAGCTGAAAACCTCAATGTGTTTCATGAGGATTATCTTGTAGAGGACCAAACACACTGACATTTGTGGCTGTATAATTACAAACTGTGAAAGGGGTCAGGTGGTATGAATTCTTCTGCAAAGCACTGTAACAAAAAAATAAAATAGAAATCACAAATTGCAATGGCAATGTCCACCCTCTTACCTTGCTGAGAGGAGCGGTAGGATCCCATGGGCCTCTGGGGCATCATGCTATTCCCTTGGCTGGCCTGTGCCATCATGCCCATCGCCTGCTGTCCCTGATACTGTCCTGCTGAGTGCACTGAGGAGTGTTGTGAAGGAGCAGACTGTTGGTGCATCATGGCGACTGGGGAAGAAGGTGAAGCAGTAATCTCGAACATTAAAGTTGGTTCACAATTTTCTATTCATAAGGCAGTATTTAATGATCTTACACTGGTAGAAATGCAAGGTTAAACTAATTTAAAGGAACTTTAACTGCATGCCAGACACAAGGAAAGGACAAAAGGCAGGATCTCTTTGAAGAGATTCCTTTGTGCAGGGTTATAAATGAAAATAAAGCCAGAGAATTAGCATGTAAACTGAAATCCGGTAAACAATACACACACCTTCAGACAAAGATAGGCTTTATCTTAGCCCAGGTGGTCAGAGATCCGAAAGGCATAAACCTTTCAGATAAGAAATCAGGAGGCAGAACCCATCTGGGATGAACTGAATGTGAAGGGAGCATAGGCTCTCACAGCAGTTATGTGTGCAAGTGCATTGACCAAGAGAACGAGGCATTTGCCATATGGTAAAAAGAGGGAAAAAAAATACATCCCAAAGGAAAAAAAAAAACTGCATTTTATATTATAAACAACAAAGTAGAAATAATGTTTTCACGGGCAAAATGTATGTTTCTTTTAAGAAACATATTTTAAATTATGGATCAGCTAGTGAGCTTCATTATTCCTGGCTCACCTTGGCTCAACTGCACGTTGAGGTTGCTGCCAGGGGAGGAGGAAGATGAGGGCGTGGAGGAGGAAGAAGAAGAGGAACCATAACCTGCCCTTGGGCCCTGGGCCAGGCTACCCTGAGAGGAGGGCGTAGCTTGGCTGTAGCCAGACGCCGAGCTACTGTAGATACTGGTGGATGGAATAGCCGACTGCATGTGACCTGATTGCATGGGGGCATGGCTCGGGCCTAATGACACACACACAATCAGAGGAGGCCAGTGCACATTCTCATGTGGTGTCACGGCATGGTAATCAGCGTACCACATTCAGTTCATCCTAAAGGAAAGCTCAGGCTGGGTGTAAAATAGTGTGAATGGTTGATTATGAGAATAAGATTAAGAGACTGAAAAGAAAATCTGAAATCAATATAACTGCAATAAAAAAAAAACTGTGTATAAGTTATCAGCAAGCAATCAGGTAATTAATATAGGCATTGATGCTGACATTAAGTGGCTACATGCAGCACAGTCAGCTTTAGATAAGCACACAACAGGTAAAGAGATAAAACACAAAACAGTGTGAGTGTTTGTTTGCAACATCTGTGGCTGAACATGCCAATATAAAATCCACACTTGTCACCAACCATTGCTCATTTGACTCTGCATCATGGACGTGGGGGTCACTCCTGATCCAATGCTGTCATTGAGGTTGCTTGGAGCATGTCCCCCACTGTGGCTCATCCTTCCAGGATCCATGGACATGTTGGAACTAGGAGGCTAAAATGAACAGAATTACAACATCACTTCATTCCACTTGGCTGTTATTTTTTGTCATGCCTGTTTTGACTCATGGACTGGTGCACTAACTGATCAGCTCTGTTGCATGCTCCTAGAAACCACATGACAGGCAGACTTACAGCCGGTAGAAGTGACTGCATGTTCTGATTAGAATCAGCTATTGTGGCCAAGTAAACAAGATTCCTGTGCAGGATCTGCTGATACCTGGAAAGGTGGACATTTTTGCAGAAATTTACACAACCTTTGTAAGACTTTGGACTATTTACAACAACAACAACAACAAAAGTCACTCACTGTGTGCACTCAGCTGTCTTGCCTTTACTTTGGTAGTCCATAATGCATTGTATAAGATGATGATTTTCATCCAGCATCTGTGAGAAAGACAAAGCAACCTCAATCTATATCTGGCATTTAAAGTGCTTGGAAAATTGAACGCTAAATTGCTTTCCATCTCTCTTGGACAAAGCCATTGAAGGAGCTACTGCTGCCATTATCCACTGTAGTCTATTAGTTTATGGTAGATAATTCTGACAGCTCAGTGCTTCTCTGTACTTACTTATCCTACAGAGCTAAAGATTATATATATATATATATATTCACAGTGACATTACAGGTTGTTACACGAGGGATAAACAGCAACAGAAATTATGCTTATTGATGTTGATCGTATCTATTAATTTGCCAACTTTTCACTCAACTTAATCATTAATAGCAGTGTCTAGAAAATGTTTATCAAACCCTAGAAACTCGTTCCTTTTGACTTGTTTGTTGTTGTTTTTTTTTGTTTTGTTTTTTCTCCCTTCCTTCCTTCTTTCTTTCTTTCTTTTTCTTTTTATGGCTGAAGCTGAATATTTGCACTGGTCAGACAGCTTGAGTGAGAAAGACAGCATCAAGGAAGCAGGTATCCAGTCAGAGCAGAGCGCTTATACCAAGCCTCACCTTGATGGCTTTGTTTGGTTCGTTCCTTCGCTACTAGTTGCCCTCTCTTTGATATTCACCTCAGGCTACATACTTTCCCTGAGATCAACCACTCACACCCTCGTCCACAGCGACATTTAACTGTAAATGACGCGACGCTCCGAGTTTTTCTTATTTTTTGGTTTTGTTTTGTTTTGTTTTTTATATATTTACCTTTTGGATGGTTTGCTGTGTCACCTCCCCTTTACTCCTGGGACGCGTCGATGAAAACGCCACAGACATGTTGACATATGGGAAATAAAAGCGCTCCTTTTATTCTAATATTTATTATCTAGAGCGCAGCCTTCTATTTGGTTACATAGTTTCTCTACAACGAGGGGAAAAAAAGGAGGGGGGTGAGTGCAAAGCTATGATTGTTGTGATGATAGGAGAAACAATGGAGAGCTCATCGTGTATCTGGACAGAAATAAACACGTGACTTTGCGCAAAGCGGCATTTATGGTCTGAATTTAAATATTATGATCATGAAGAAAGCGTTTATGTGCAAAGGGACATCCCTCTGCCTCCTCCGTTGGTACAGCCCAGGCTCTGGATAGGCTGCCGCTAGATGGGGTATCCTCAAATACATGACAGGCAAAGAAAGCAGTCAGCAGAGGGCTACGTGCGCTGTTCAGGGCACAGGAGGCAAACAGAGAAGGAATTACTAAAAGTTGCTTTCAGCGCCTTAGTTGGTTTGTGTGAAACGAGTCGTGTCTAATAATGTCATTTGTTTCAAATGACATTTTCTTTTAAAACAGAAAAACTATGTTGTTAGAGGGGATTTGACGGAAACCTCAAAAGTGCGTCGCAACAAATTCCAAAACCAAAAAGTCATTTAATTTCTATATAGCTACAAAGACAACCCGTGATATATTTAAATGTGTAGTTTTTTTTTTTTTTTTTAAGATTGATAACTTTTTGCATATAATGGAAAGCCAGAGTCAGTTTCTCAGGAAACGTAAAATGTCACCTCAGACTTTATTGGGACTCAATTTTTATGAATTACTGTATTGGTGTGTGGCACTGCTGAGGTCACCATGTGGCTTTGGTCCATTACCACACCTTCCTCTTAATAAGACCCCCACAAACTTTCTTTGGGGTTCAGGTCAAGCAAATTTGATCAAGCAGTGATAAACATGGTAATTAAATCAGCTGATTGTTTTATGGGAATGTTTCAAATACAACTGGAAAATTACAAATTACTCAAAATCAACCTCAAGCAACTTTGCCTCTGACACTTTACTCTTCTTTCACACTCTGGGGTCTTGATTTTTTGAAAAGAATTTAACATTTACTTGAAAACAAGCTCTTTGGACACTGAACATTTCAATTTTTCCTCACCTTTGACATGGTGGTACAGGAGTAGATTGACAAAATGAATCCAACAGTTGTTTCCCATAAGTCTGTTTGTGCCTCAAGTACAAACTCCATAGTATGCAAATTTTCCCAAGACTCTGGACTGAGAAGCACTGCTCCACAAGCCTTCAGGTTGTGGTCAATTCTGTTGCCAATGCATTTTCTCCCATAATATGCTTTTCACTTCAACATACAAGGGAGTCCGGTACTGCTGGAAAGTAGTCAGACTTCCCCTATAATTTTGTAAGCCTCGTTTGTAAAAACTCCTCACCAGGCCTTGTGATTCACTGACATTAACTATGGTGAGCTGTTCCAGGCATATCCCACCCAGAAGAATATTTAGCAGCTGCTGGAAGAACTAAATTTCTTAAGTTGCCCTAAGAACACCTTTGGCTTTCCCAAGAGGAACTGAACCAAGTGACTGGGGAGAGGAAAGTCGAGGTCTCCACCCTCACCACCCAACAGAAGCCAATTGGAGGATAATAACACTTCAGGGAATTTCTCATTTCAAATTCCAAGATAATTGCAGGCCTAAATGTGAACATGGGCAAATTAAAATTAAAGAGATGTACCCCCAGAAAGAATCAGTTTCAATTTCAGAAATAAAGGCAAGATTTTGAATACAGATTTAACTTCATTGTATTTACAGTATTTGACAATTATACAAGTGCTCAAATTAAGACTTCAAACCATGACAAAAATCAGTTGAACACTTCAAATGTTGAGTACGTCAATCAGAACAAAATTACTTTATCCATATAAACAAGATGTCTTATACAGTCAACAAAACAAGCCGAAAGAAAAAAAAAAAAAAAAAAAAAAAGAAAAATGTTTCTTGGCAGTTAAGTTCAACACAATGAGGAAATGGACAAAAAAAAAAAAAAAAAAGATCCAGATTAAGTTTTCTGTGGTCTTCACACCCATCCTGTCTGGATCCTGTCTAAAGATAGAATCTGAGCAGCTCCTCGTCCTCTGCGTCCAGTAAATCTACCTCTTAAGCCTCGACCTCTTACGAACCGGCCACTGACTCCAAAAGTCTCCAAATTGCGCTTCCGTTCCTCAGCCCATGTTAATCTGAAACTTAAGAAAATAAATACAATTAGTGAAAACCTCAAGCTTATATTTAAAAAAAGAAAAAAAGTTGAATTTAGGAAACGGGATTACCTAAGCCCATTATCACAGGAGACATTGTCAAAAAAAGACTTTGCTTTGTCATAGTAACATTTCGGGCTAAAACTGTCATTGTCCAGCAATGCGTGCATCCTCGCTTTTGCCTTCTTAATGTCTTCATCTGCATTAAAAACAAAATGATTTTAGACAAAAACCCTCAGGAGGACTTTTACAAAATAATCTGGTTTTGACATCAGTTTTTGATCAGAAAGAAATTCACTTTTGAAATATTACTTGACAGCATTTCAATTCATGTGCCCTAGTGTAGAAACACCACAAGAGAATTGTTGCAGAAGTCCAGACACACATGAATCTATTACAAGTGTGCCTTAGTAGCTACAGCAACAGCCAAGTCATTTCAGATGCAAACAAACCTTTTAGGTTCCTTCTTTCTTGCACCTCCCTCTCGAGCTCCTCTTTGATAAACTGTGCATTGGATGAAGCAAAGTCAAAGTCTGTATCAAATTTGAGAATAGGCGATGGAACGTTAGCCATCATCAGCTGTCCACTACCACTCCGATGTCGAGATGCTAAGGAGATTTAAAAAAATATATATATATATATATGTTAGAGCACCTAGAAATAGGAATTTTACTTTCAGATCTCGATTTTGCTACCTTGCCTTCTTCTGGCCAGTGGACGGTCAGTCTTCTGCCGCTGTGCTTCTGATCGATTAGAAGTCACACCAGAGCCTGAACTCCCTTTAACAGAAAAATAAAAATAAACTGAGTTATAATGTAGCAATTCAGAGTAATTGTTTTCATTTAGCTCAAGTATCACAGGAGGCTTACTGGTAGTGGGCTCCTTTTGAGGCTGGGAGTTCACTCTCCTGGTCCTTGGGGGCCTCTTCTTATTCCACTGTCTTTCCTGGGAAGTAGTCAAACCTCTTCGTCTTTCTACTTGGATGGTTTGAACAGCCTTCTCTACCATGGGGCCCCGTCTGAAATGCAGGTCTGAAAGGAGAGGCCCTGAATTATAGGAGCCAAAAAAATTCTCTAAACTATTTTAACCTCCACAGGGGCTTTTATGGTTGGTTTACTTTAAATAAATTTGTAAGAGAATACTTGCCCAGTCCAAGAGCAGCAGCATACTGCTGGCTAAGAAGGGAGCTGGCAGCAAGGTGATTATAAACAGGCATCCCTATGGGACTAAACAGTCCAAGACTTGGATATATGCCCGAGCTTGAACTGGATGACTGAAAAATACATAAAAAAATAAATATTCACACAATCATGACAGGAGCTTGAATGATGCACTTCTTTCCTACTTTACTTGTATGATTGCTGGATCTGGGGGTAGGCCATGATAAGACCTTGGAGATTCACAGAGTGCGATATCCTTGATGTCACTTCCACGGAAAGTTATGTACTCGTAGACATCATCTTTGGGGGGTGTTGGTCTTTCAGTAGGACGCCCCTCAGTTCCAAAACACTTTACTGTGCATAAAGGAAATGTCATTTTCCCAATCTAAACAAATCCTCCAAGTAATCTTAAAGATCTCTCTTGTCACAGAATCAATTAGACTCACCTTTTGCCAGCACAACTGTGGAATTATTTTTGTCAATTGTGTACAAAATCCCCTCGTAACGATTTTGGGCCTTTGAAATTAACCCTATTCTACAGCCAATGTATGGCTTTGAAGAAGCCATGGCTGAATAATCGTTAGAACAAATGCTCTGAATTGTTTTATTGTCTTACAACACATTGCACTGCTCAGACTTTGCTGAAACAATTTATAAGCATTTGCAGGTGTGCTGGAACCACGCCCACTGATTGAAGTTTAACTCACCTGATTGTTCAAGTCAATCACTTCACTACCCGTGTAGTGAACCGACACAGGTAGTGAAGTGATTCCTTTACAGGGATCACTTCCTGTATTGCTTTACAGGAATACACCAAGTACAGGGTCATCTTCTACCTGAAGGATGACCTGGGTAGAAGTGATCGTAATGTGGAGTGGGAGGAGTATTTTTTGTTAACGGACAAAGCCATTCAACAATGATAGATAAATTCAAAGCATTTAATCTATATTCACAATGTTCAAACCCGATTTGGGGGGAAATAAAAACATACAATATTAATAGGAGTTAGTGTCACTTATGGTGTGTTTTGAAGAAACAAAAGCATGACATAAGTAGAATATCACATCAAAAAAGATAAAAGAAACAGGAATCAGAGTTGCATACTTTAAAAAGCACATGCGCAGCCATTTTGAGACATACGTGGTCAGAAACATTTATTCAAACTGCTTTAACACTTTTCTTAAATCCACGGTGATGGAAAAGTTGATTTCCTTTTCTGAGAAAGCAAATCCGAGAGCAGCGTAGTACTCCTCTCTCTTTCCCTAGTGAAACTGACAGCTCCATCTTCCTTCGAGAGTTTATTTTCTTTCTCGAACCAATCACAACGCCGACCGAGGTAACGTCATGGTAGAAGGGGGGGGTATCTAGTCGGCGCATGCGTCTTAAGAACTAGCGTTGGTAGGCAAAGATGGCGGCGGCGTCCGATTTGTTGGCTGATGTTTTCTCCAACAGAGCGGTTGACAAAAAAGTAGTAAGTGAGGTAGTGAGAGCCTTTAATACCCTGTTAAGAGGAGCAATTTGCGCTAACTTGACGTCTGGGATTCAATTTGCAACAAATCATTTTTGTGGTTTAACTGTAGTCGGTAGTTTCAATGTCGAGGGTAAGTAAATGAGATTTTGACTATATAAAGCAGGTAAGATATCTGTACTCCCTGATATGCCGACAATAGCTAGTTTTAGACAGATTGTTTAACTTAATTGTAGCCAACTTAATTTAACTTATCACTTTCCTGAAACTAATGCGAATTGGACAGTTGCTCGACACTTCCCCTGTTGCCATATGTTTCCGCCGCGGTAGCGACAGGAGTTGCTGAAGGTGTCAGTAATTGTTCGGGGGTCCCACGGTCAGAGTATGGAGGGGACAGCTGGGATCACATCGGCCGCTGAACCAATCACGACTGCCGCGCAGAGTCACTTCGATTCACTGGCAACAAGCGGAGCAGTTACAGGAGCATCAGGTGCAACCGCTGGAGCTGACAAACAACAAGCGACTGGTGCTCCAGCTTTGGATGGAAACGGCGCGGTGATGAACTGTCACATCCCCGGAAGCGGGCAGTCAGACAGCTCTCAGACAGCTCCTGTGAATGGACCCACTTCTGCCTCTCCTGGTTTTATTATTCGAACTTCTCTGAGTGCACAAAATCCTTCGACCTCATCTGGGAGTTCTTCTCAGCCTGCTGAGAAAATTGTTCCCACAGTGGCGCTTGTAAGACCACCACCTATGCAAACTTCTGCTAACGAGTCTCAAAGTACAGACAGCCCAAATACAGTCTTATCATCAGGGAGCGGTAGTGTTTCCTGCAAAACTGAACCCACTAAAAGTATAACTCAAGCCGGTGCTCAGGTCCTGCCTTCGGGTGTTTTGACTGCGACCATGAGGAATCCGACTGTTCTGCAAAACATGAGGACTACATTGTCGTCAACGATCAGTGCCGCTCCGCCAGGAGGAATACGGACCATTGCTCCACAGGTGTTGGCTCCTCGACTCACTCAGCCTCAACAAAACGCTACAAGTATCCAAAATATCCAAATCCCTGCAGGTACGGTGTTTAAGAGCTTTCTGTTTATTGTTCAATAGATGGGATTTAATTTCCTGCATGGATGAGGAAAAGCTTATGACATTTAGTATTAAGCGAAGGTGAAACTGTTAATGATTAAAGCTGAGGCTACAGTTGATTATTGGTGTGGCTTGTCAAAGCAGCACTTGGCTACATTAATTCTCATATATTTGCTTGTCTGCTACAGTTACTTTCTGTTCCTTAATAATAGCTACTTACTGAATATCTCATAAGTATCTTATTGTTTTACTGGTTCTTTTAGTTTCCTTTTCAAGGAATATCGTGCATCCCCTCCCCTGACTTTATTTTTAAAGTCCTTACTCATTCTGAAAATAACTAACCTGAGTCGTCTTGCACACTTCTACCTTTCACATTCAACTCGCTGTATATTTATTGTCAAAGTGAAAATCTTCAGATTTCACTCTTTGATTTCTCAGTCCATCTCTCGTCATTGTTTTGCCTGTTATGTGATTTTCAATTATTATTTTATTTTACCCTCAGGTCAGTTCATTGATAAATTTATGTTTTTATGTATTAGAAAGCACTATTGATGGGTCATTTATGTTGATTATTATCCTCTGTCATGGTTGTGACTTTGATTTTTTTTTGTTTTGTTTTGTTTTGTTTTTAATATTTGAACCTTCCAGGCATGGTGTTGGTTCGCAGTGAGAGTGGGCAGCTGCTGATGATTCACCAGCAGACTTTGGCTCAGATGCAGGCTCAAGCACAGTCACAAAGCGCAACGACGCCACGACCTGCAGCCCCCACCAGCACTCCACCTGTCCAGGTCGCATCTCTTCAGGTATTGGTGTGCCAGAAGCATGAGCACACGCACACAGGGAACATGTAACTCGTATGTGTGTTGCAGTAAAACACAAAAGAAATGTACATTCCTGGATATCCACTGATAGAGACAATGGCCTATTTCACTTTAGGAGGGATCACATTTGACAAAAATTAAGAAAACTTATGCGCTTAAGTTTTATTATTATTATTATTATTATTTTAATGGAGAAATATAGAAGTCTTTTTGAAGATTTTCCCAAACTTTAAAATTGATTTTGTGGAAAAACTTACACAAATTGATTTTTTTTTAAAGAATAGATATTGATTTAATTGATTTTCAACCTGAGAAACAGCACTCCTTTGGATAAATAAGTTTGTGCTTGCATGTAGACTATGATGGAAGAAAAAATGTCATTTGACAATAAGACATTGCTTGATAGCAATACAAAGCATTTTCTTCCACTATTCTGGAAAAGGTTCAATGTTATAAATGGGTAATTTTCAAATGTTAATATTTAAATGTAGAATATATTGCACTGATTTTGTAACGTCCACACAGAAGTTAAGCTGAAAGTTTACAACTTGTTGAATGTCAAAACTATGAATTTTCATTGTTTTTTTTTAAATATTGGTTTTGTTGTTTTGCAGTCATTTCTAGGTACATACCAAAATGATTAACGCAATGTATTAAGAGTACACAGACTTAGTGAAACATTTTAGTAGCAAATCGTAATATATAAATATAATATTCTAAAACACCCACAGCACTGTCTGAACATCAGTGTTAAGACTAAAACACTGTAGCAGTGTTATTGGCAGGCTTTTAAATAATCACACTGTTACAATGTTTCTTCTACATGGACTTAGAAACAACCCTTTTAAACAACTGTTATTGATCACAGTCCATTGGTGAACCTTCAGAAGATATAGGAAAAAGTACTTTAATCAGTTAATCAACTTTATCTACGTGACTTTTTTCAAATTCTAGTGATGGAATGTGAACAAGCTTGAAAATACATTCCAGGCGCACTAAAAACAAAAGATTTCACAAAAACCGACCTGTTCTCTAAGGTGTAACACATGCAGGACGGACTGCTGTGAAACGGAAGGTTATTCTAGTCCTTGGGCAAAAAGGCTACCTTTTTTCAGAGAATTTGGATGTTGTGTCTTTTGACTAAAGCGAACAGGGATCCAGCTTATCAGTTTTCAGTGATCAGCATAGAGGTCAGCATATTTGAATGTGTGGACAAAACAGAACATGCACATATGTGAAGGCAACAGTTAGTGATATTATATAACTGGAACCATTAATGCTTTCCAGTGTTGTTAATTTCTAACTTTTCATACATTAAAAATGTCTTATTCTGTAAAATATTGCTTTATTTAAAATAAAAATGTCATCTGTCAGCTGGATGCAATTGCTTTTATCTGACGTAGAAATATAGTACACTATTCTTGTTCAAATAACTTTAAAGCACTCCAGCTAAAATATTTTATAAAACAGATAAAATTAATCATTTTTAATGCATTTGTAACTAATGGAAACATGTCTCTTTCCGTCTTCTGCAGACTCCTGGAGGTCCTCTGCTGGCTCGCTCCGTAACCCCGACGACCATCATCAAACAGGGTTCTCCAGTTCAAACCACAGTAGCAACCACAGCCACCCTCCAGAGACCTCCTGTTCTGCAGGTACCTCAGTCAGTCTGCATTCTGGGATATTTATTTGTTATAGTTACAGTTAATACAAGGTGTCAAATTGACCTAGTTCTAATAATAAAAATAGTTTGTCAGTGTACCTTTCATAAACATCTTGTTACAATTCTAAAAAAAAAAAAAAATCAAATATTTTCAGGGCTGCTGACAATAGACAATGTTTCACTGAGCCTGAGGATGTTGTATAAATGCGATCTTCTATGTGTGTGTTCTTTGTTCCAATAAGTCATGCAGACAACTCAGTAATTCCTCAAGAAGCATTAGCTTGTTTGGATGGCTAATAATATTGAGTAAAAATAATTATCATTCAAGACACTGAGGAAATTAGTTACCAATTGTTTTTTTGTTGTTGTTTTTTTACTTACTTAGGTAAACAGAAGTAAACCAAACCAGAAAAATAAAAATGATCTATTGTAATCTACTTTTCTGTGTTTTGTTTATCTACAAAAAAGAGTTTTACAACAATGTTTGAGTTGTTTACTTTTATTTGTTTAAGTGCAACATTATTTTATTTTTATAGGTTGCCATGTAAAATGCCTTTTTGTTTATGAGATCTTTAATGACTAGTTTTCTGGGTGTTTGTTTCATACCCAC